CAGATGAAGACAGTTTATCAGGAGACAAGAACAACCTGAAGACACCTGACTCTCAGATCAGGAGAAAGAAACGGCGGCACAGGTACAAAAAACAACTCATATTGGATATAAAATGGGAGCATAGCCACAACTTCTTCTGTATTAGCATTAGGATATGTTGAATTAATATTCCCAAATTTGTACATGGTCTTTGTAATATATGCTTTATATAATAGCCACATGTAAGCTTCACTATGCTTAACTTCTACAAGAGTATTCTGGGCTATGAGGTGTTCTCTACCTTGTGGCTCTGCAGATGATGTTGAACATCATCCCCCATCATCCCTGACCATTGGCTATATTGGGTCTGATGGGAATTGGAGTACAATAAAATTTGGAGAATGTAATTTCTCCTTCCCAGCTTTAATTATAGCTGCATAATTGTGAGGGAAAGGCCTTTTGCACACAATTAGAAGCATTTTCTCTTTTTCATAGGTTTCATTTGCACTTTTTGTCTCAAATTACATCTTAAGGTCACAACAGAAGAGGCATCATAGGTCAGTTGAAAAAGTTCTGGGTTTCTTGTTCAGAATCACTAGGGTTCACTCCCATAGTATCTACAGTTAAATAAAAAGAGGGGAAAAGATCAGCAGATGGAAAAGATCTCAGACCTGGAAAATTGCTGTTGGTCAGATACAAGACAGACAGCATCAGGATAAATAGTCTTAAGTGGTGTAAGGCAGCTTCGGGGTAACATGGAAAATGCGTTTCTTAACCTGATGCTCTCTGCAGTTCTGTTTCAGTGTTCATCATGTTGACAGGCCCAGCAGTTTCCAAAATATCTCAGTTTGCTTATATAAGCAAGATGACAATCTCTTCCTCTCAAACCAGTTGCTCTTTAAAAGGGCTGTTTTTGTAGAGATACTTCCACAAATCCAGGAGATCTAGAAACTTGTAGCCTTATCTGTGGCTCATTTAGCAGTAAAATCAAACCTCTGGTAGTGGCGAGCACATGTAGACAAATAGCATAGAATTCTGGATATCATTTGGTTTGGCCTTCTGCGTAAAGTAATTAGGGATGGTCTTCAGCTCCCATCTCCTCTTTCCTGTTGCTCCACAGTTAAAGTTTCAGATCAGGTCTGAACAATTTGTGGACAGGATGTAGCTCAACGTAGACTATGAATAGAGACCTACAAATATTTTAATATGACACTGTAATCTAGTTCATACTTAATCCTAAACCTTAATATAATTTCTTTAATTTTATTTTTGCGGATTTTGTGAATCCTGTCCATTGTGTTTAGGGATCATAGTTTATTGATTAACATATTGTGTGAATCCAAACTGTTGTGGTTCTTTCAACAAATTATGGTTAAGCAAACGTAGCTTAGGGCGATGTGTTTAACCCAGTGTGCATGTATGACAGAGAGAAAGAACCTGACAGGCCTACTGGATTGTATTCAGCTTATTCACCAAGTCATGTAGATCACAGACAAATGTACATTGTTAGCCACATACGTGCTTCTCCCATAAAGCTGTTTTTATGCAGGATGAAATGTGACTATCAGTTTGCCACAGCCAGCAGTGGCATAACATTTAATATGTTAACATTTAACATCTGATTCTAGAGGAGCTTGTTTCTCATGAAAGATGCTGCAGGGCCATCCTAATCAGGACAGTTTTTATTTCTGTCCCCATAGGACCGTGTTTACTGCCCATCAGCTGGAGGAACTGGAAAAGGCTTTTAATGAAGCTCATTACCCTGATGTATATTCCAGAGAAATGTTAGCTATGAAAACTGAACTGCCTGAGGATAGAATACAGGTAGGTTGTTTTGTGTCCAGTGCCAATGGATTTGTTTGATGCAATGGACAAATGTAAGGCCCAGTCCCTTCCAGATCTACCTAAGTTTGGGATTTGCGGAATGGCTTCACAGAAAACACTGGAGCATTTCCAGGGCTTGAAAACTTAGCATAGAGAAGGGCCGGGGTGTCTATAAGGCATGGTCAGAATATCAAGGTGGCAGCTGTGACCATCCGATCAAAGCTCTGTTTTTTATGTGTGTCACGTGTGTAACACATATAAAAAACAGGCAGAGATTTGATTGAACCATCATGGCTACCATCTTGACTTTTTTGACTGTATCATGCAGACACTTCAGGAGAAGGGCTTGATCTATAGTGGCTGCTATTGCAAATCACAGCTAGAACTGATTGGTTTTTTCTTAGTAAAAATGATGGGCACCTGCTTGGGGAGAATTCAACTCAGAACTATTTGAAATTGACATCCATGGGTTAAGGGGAGGTTAGATGAAAGTCTGAGGAATTCTTTTGTCCTAGCAAATCCTGCCACAGTATAGGAGGCTAGGCTGAATAATCTACTGGCTGTAGGATTGTAATTCAACATGAGTACAAATAGACTGAAGAAGCCTTTTGAGATCTGTAGAAAAAACAAGGGAATCTGTAACAGCCTTTATCCTAGGATTTTCAAGTCACCCTTTATCTTAGGGTTGACTTGAAAAATCACAAAATGCAAATAGGCTTGTGGATTGCAGCCAACCTTACTGTTTGCTTTTTTACATTTCTCAATTCCTAGTTTTTATTTGATGCCTCACAATGACTTTGAACGCTTTAAGCTCCAACATTACAGTAAAGTAACAAAAGTTTTATAATGTAGGAATCAGGAATACTGTTGAGGATTCCTGCCACTCAATGTCTTCCTATTCCATTGCTATTTTCCTTCCCTACCCAACATTTAGGAGTACCTAGCTGTGAAAATGCTCAGTCCTAATTGGGTTGTTTTGCGGACAGCTCCTCTAAATGTGGCAATCTGGCAAGTTTTGGGTTGCTTCCAAGACAGCCAATATCCTACCATTGTATTTGGTTATATAAACACAATTTGAACTTTGGAAACAGAGAATGATTGGCTGCTTGTTGGTATATTTACAGAGGGAAGGGCCCACTGAATTCCCCAAAATTGGTTTTCCATAGAGAGGTAAAAAAAAACAACCCTTAAATATTAATGTGATATCATAATCAAATCCTAGAGTATAAGTGTTCTTTAAGACATCCTCATCTGAATCCTGATTTGAAAAGAGAGGCTAAACTTTCCCTATGTTCACACACCTTGGCTCTTTACTGTTTGATATAAAACAGGGATGTACCACCTTCCCTCCCAAAACTGAGTGTATACCTGGAAAATTGGGCAAAATGGAGAAAATATTAAATACATGGGGGGGGGTCTGTTCATCAACTGTACTGAATTAAATTATAAATAATTGAACAGTTTTTATCATTCCCACCCACTTTTTGGATTGCTGTTTTCTTCATACCATTCAAAAGCCATATATTGCCTTGGTCTGAAAAAAGTTGTCTGATCCTGGTATAGAACATGGAAACTATGTATTTATTGTCCAGCAGGATTAAATTTTTAGAAAAAGAAGCCTAATGAAAAATGCAGAATCAGGGCTTAGTATCTTAATAGCAAGAGCAAGTGGAAGTCAACCTATTAGTTGATTTCTTCAAGTAGTATCTTCACACAGAACCCAGTGAAAGGATAAGGAAAATATATTTACTTCTGTAGGAATGAAGCAGAGAATTTGTTGATTTGACAAAATTCTTGTTAAGTCCTTTTGTTTTATATATGCTGACCAAGTGATCAGGAATTGAGTACTAAGTTTTGTTTACCTGCCATGCTTTATTTAATATACTGTTCTCTCCCCTCCCTTCAATCCCTTGCACATGGACACACCTATATTGTTGTTAAATGTGTGTTTCTGGATCTGTACTAAAAGGTTTGGTTTCAAAACCGAAGAGCCAAGTGGCGGAAGCGTGAGAAATGCTGGGGCCGCAGTAGCGTGATGGCTGAATATGGTCTCTATGGCGCCATGGTGAGGCACTCCATCCCACTACCAGAATCCATTATCAATTCTGCCAAAAGTGGAATGGTTGGTTCCTGTGCCCCTTGGCTGTTGGGTAAGCAGTTCTGTAGTGTGGTTCACGTGTAGGTTGTGTTGATATTTGACCAACTACCACTGTTTCCTGTTCAAAGTATGTGTAAACAGCATCTCCCTTCCTTCAGTCGGAGCTAAATTGATGACTAGCAGTAGAATGACCCCCTTAAAATGTCTCATTTGGTAACATCATTATAATGGTTATAAAATCTGCCCTCTGACACAAACAGTGGGTAGTGGCCTCCACTTACAAGCATCCTACATTGAGTCGGTATGCATATGGCTGTAGTGCTTGGGTGTGTATATATCTGTCCACGTGAGTGCATATTCAACATACACATAATACAAATGCATGTCTGCGCACAAACCCATACGGACACACACACATCATTTTCAACTGCTTATTTTCTGCCTCTAGCCACCCATAACAATGGTAGATTGGGGACAGGAAATGTTGTAAGAGGACTAAATATTTGTGAGCAGTGGAATTTGATATTTCTCAACATTCATATAATCTGACATGCCATTTGAAGAATGTTAGCTGGTTTTCATCATTTAATATAAATGTAGAATGAGATAAAGAACTATATGTACAACTTCCTCTTTATCATAGCTTAATATAATATTCATTAGATTATGAATATTAAATTATTCTAATGGCCAAAAGACCTCCTTCCTGAAAACTGACATTTCAGCTTTTACCCTAAACAAGGAATGTTCACTTGTGGGAAACAAAAGGTCTTGCGTTAATTTCATGTCCTTTTTAAGAGTGGGGTCGGTGCCAGTCCATTCCTGGGTCTGAAAAAAAGGGAGAAAAAAGGCATTTTTCTTCCTCTCTTTCTCAGTGCTACAACAAGGTGGCTTACGGACTGATTTACTATATCATAGCATTGATCTATTGCAGTGCTTCTCAACCTTGGCAACTTTAAGATGTCTGGACTTCAACTCCCAGAATTCCATGCTGGCTGGGGAATTCTGGGAGTTGAAGTCCAGACATCTTAAAGTTGCCAAGGTTGAAAAACACTGATTTATTGGGAACAGGATGGTTGTATAATAAAACTGAATTTTTATTTCTTTTAGGAATGCATAAAAAATCTGTAAATATTACAAGGAAGCCTGAAAACGAGGAAAAGGGAAATGGCAGCTGGAAATCTGAACATCCTGAGGAGGAATTAAAAATTAAGCAGATAGAATCTGAGCGAAACCCCTCTAATAAATTAATCTCAACGGACAGTTCAGAAGATATCGCAATTGATCTCTCTAGCACAACAAAGCAGGAGAGGAAGAGCAGCAATCTGAGTCTTGGTGCAGGCCCACAGCCCAAAATGAAAGATGCTGAACACTAAGGACAGGGGAGGGACCACATGACACACTGTAAACCAAATATTTCATTCGCCTCTTCAGTGCTCTGGCATAGTATGAGTATTTTTGCTCTATGCATATTTGTTAGTCTTTTTCAAGTGACTCATTCATTTTACATGCAAAGGGGACTTTCTGAGATGGAATATATCCAAGATATAATTTATTTTTACAACTTGAAAGTTGTTTATTTGTAAAGAAGATAATTAGCTGTAGCTGCATATTTTTTCTTAATATGTCTCACTAAGTCACCTTTCACCAAGAGCTCTAAAAATAGCATTTGGTTCCATGTTTGATAGAAAGGCAAATATATACCCACTCCCTCAATCAATCTCACTCAATCAAGTAAATACAAGTAGCAGCTTAAAAAAAGTATGCAATAGATATTCTGGTAAATTAAACCAACGTAAATAATAATAATAATAAAAAGATTTGAATTTTTTTTGCAGAGATGATCATCCTTCTTACCTGCTTTTGGATATTTAATAATGAAAAGATGAATTGGAATATTTATAAATGTAATAAAGTAAATGATAATGAGAAACACTTTTCTGTAATTATCTGGTGTCCTCCAGATATGTAGGAGATACAATTCCTAGAATTCTCCACCAGCATGGAAACTCAGAGGTACCCCTCTTAATAGTGATTTGCAGTGGACTTAGAGAAAATACTGGCTTCAGCTGGTTTTAACAGTGGCAACAGCTATTCTTTCTTCCTTCCCCATTAAAGCGGTAACATGCATCAGATAAAAAGCAGATTTCTATGTGAAAATATTTATTGATAATACGAACAAATCCTTTAATTCCAAGTGTCTTTTTGCACTAGACACCAGTTGGAAAAACTCAGGTTTCTTGTAAAATGTAAAGTAGATCCTATAAACCTTATGTCTGCCTATTTCTCCTGTATTGTAAAAGCAATATTCATTAGTGCAGTTAGATGTTTCACATATACTGTACAGTATATGTGATGTACAGAACAAGGGAAATGAAGAACCTTGATGAAAATTTGCTGATAGCAAGTAAGAACTGACTGTGCTTGACAGATCTGTACTGAATTCTGTAAGCTGCTGATCCTGTTCTGATTTAAAGCTGATCAGAACCCTCTTGACCCCATTCAAAGCTCTATGGAATAAATATGGAATTACAAGTAAGTTAAACGCTCCAATTTTCCTTTACATCAAAGAACACTTTGCTCACCTTTAGAAAATGGCAGGAAAACAAAAGTCTGTAGCAAAACACGAAGTTGAACAAATTCTCATGGCATTCAAGATCAGTTCCCGATCCTTAAATGGATAGAGGTACATTTTATTATATGGAATTATGAGTGTAGATCAGAACTCAATTATTTGCCAGTTTGTGGCCTTCATTACATTCCAAACCCCAGCAACTTTAGTCATCAAGGGTTATGAGAGTTGTAGTCTGACAACATGTAAATGTTTGCATGTTGCTCACCCTGTCTTAGGATCCTGTATGAGAGGTGCTAGTGTTTACGTGATGACATCCAAGAGTCCAGCTGCTACGGGCTTACAAAAACACTATACATTTCTTTTATCCCCAGTTATAGTCTCCCAATTTCATTACACATTATTTTAAAAAATAAGGAATTTGTCCCTTTTACCAATGTTTTCAGCATAAAAGATGACTCTGTTTCTTACTACAGAACTGTATTTGGAAAAAAAAAATGCAGTAACTCCATATTTGTAATGTTATATGACATGCTATGCATAATTGAACACCAACCTGTATTTATAAAGAAAAAAGCCATAAAATCCAGAAAGAAAATAATGTTATTTTATAAGATGTCATAGAAAAATATTTTGTACTTATCTGCATGTAAGAGTATCAACATATGATTTTTTTCCTTTGATTTTTTAATATGTACAGTACATCTAAAAAGCACTTTGGGTATCCTACATGATTTGTTTGTCATCTATTTATTATATATTCACAATAAATGTTCAGTGTTTTTGTGGCTTTTGGAAGGTGTATATTGGCTGTTTGACAGGGTGCTTACTACTTCTAAAGGCGCTGCCAGATGGCTGTGTTAAAACGCAATCCACCAGTCCCATTGAGAGGCTTAAGGACTGCAAAAGGAATCCTTTTTCATGAGGCATATATATCTGCATCCATTTTTGTTTGTTCATTTTTAAAGATACCTGAAGAGTGAAAACAGGAAAAGGAGAGAAAGAGGAAGGAAAAAAGAGAACACATTAAAAATTTACAAGTAAAAATTACATGAAGTATTTACAAAATATTAAAAGGAAAAAGGAAAAAATCCACTATAGATTGGAACATTAGATTGCAACAGATATCAAGTTAACCATACAATGGGTTAGAATTTAAGAACTAATATTAGAAACTGACAAAAACAGCTGAAGTAACAAAAACATTTGGAACAACAACATTTAACAGACAAAATAAGAATTAACAATTTCCAACTAATCTGAAGCAGTCCATCCTTCATTTTATGGTCAATCAGACAAAATCTAGTGTTTAAAAAATGTTGAAGAATCCAAAACTTTGAATGTAGCAGAAGGCTATCTGCAGAATTACACTTCATAAAGAGTTTTCAAATTAAATTAAAGTTAGCACCAGACTTTTTTTTAAGATATTAAATTATTTTTTGACAGTGAAGCATATTCCCTAAATTTAATCCTCTAATGAAGGGATTGAATGTCATTTCCAGTGGAAGGCACAGAGTATCCTAGCAGCAGTTATATATAAAGCCAACTCAATGTACTTTGTAAGAATATAAACCTTGATGAGGCAGCAGAAAAACAACTGGCAAAAAAGGAGTCGATCTTCATTTCCTCCTTAAATAATTGTTTCCCAAAATTGCTGAGGTTTGTAACGTTGCCACTAGATATGAAAGAATGATCCAATCTTCTATGAGGTATATATGTGATATTCCTATTATAAATATAAGATTGTATTAACTTTAGAGCCATGTTGAGTTTACTGATTGAGTTGTTTAAACCCTTTGCACAAAGGAGACATTGGGAACTAGTAGTAAGTAACCTCAGCATCTTGTTAAAAGAAGTATATTTATATAATGAAGAGAAATGATAAGAATCTTACTTCCTGGTTGGATATGATCCCTTGGAAATCCATAGGGAGCCCAAGCTATTCCTCAGGTATTGTAAGAAAATAAATGTCAGAGAAGCAAAATAATGAGGTTCTGAATAACCCAAGGAACTAGTCAGAAGAGATATCACCTGTTGCATCTATTTTTGCTTCTAGGGTTCTGATCTCCTGGTACTTTTGCTGGTCATGGATGAGTAAAAGAGTAAAGCATAAATTTATTCTTGAATAAAAGAAGGTTCAGGGATGAGATGAAAAGAACTACATCTCCCAACAGCTTTCTCTTTTGAGCATATTGACTAAAAGTGGAAGGAACTATGACTAAACGGCATCTGAGGATCAAGATTCCTCACATCTCCTCTTGAGAGTGAATAAGAAGCTGAATGCAAGGGAGAATCAGAATACTGTAGCTGATGGCAACAGGAAATGACATGCATCAGAATGAAAAACAAGATATCCTCAGTAGTGCATATGGCAAGAAGATGAATGGGCTGAGGAAATAAATACTAGAGATGAGATTAATTTCAGCAAATAGGGAGCCTAAAAGTTAGAATATGAAGATGAAATAAGAAACAGATAGGGTTTACACTTTTCACGAAACCTGTTCCCACAACTTATTTAACACAATCAGCCACTAACCCAGTCAAATTTCCTCACTAGTGGTTCAGTCAGCATACAATCATGCTTACTAGTCAAAAGTCGCCATTTTGGGATTACAGAGAGTCTACCCACTTTCTCCAGAAAATGTCTGGTATCTCACGAGCCCTTGCACTGGTAAGTACTGGTTTAACTTAATTTCAGCACTGCACCTTGGCCAAGTGGACAACAATAGCCATGGCTTGGAGATGATCAATATTTGGAAGACATGTTCTGTCCTGCCAGACTTTAGCAGTGAGTTCCATAGCAGGAGGCATCCTTTTTCAGCTGTTCTTTCTTTCCAGATCTTTTTGTCTTATAACTAGCTGGGCAAAACAGGTCAACTGTGATCATATCAGAATGAGAAAAGATGTCACATGGAAGGTCAAAATTTGTTCTTTATCTTTCCAGTATACTAGACACAGAATAATTTATAGGAAGCCGAAGTCTGATTGAATGCTACCAGAAAAAAAATCTGAATAGTAAGGGCAATTGGACAATGAGACCAATTGCCCAGAGAGGTGGCAGGTTTCCATTCACTGGATGACTTGAAACAGAGGGTAGATAGCTATCTGCGGGGGCTTGCAGGGCATTGCACTCAGGGGCATAAATAACCTCTTTCAACTCTGAAATTGCACAACTGGATCAACTGACCCCTTTCTGTTTGTTAAAAAAACTGAGTATATTCTGGGAACCATGGTTTATATACTTGGGTGAGGTCACATAGTGCCCTAACTATAAATGATGATTTGCAAGCTACAATAATTGGATACACATAACACCACAATTCAACATTCATCAAACCATATTATAGTTTAAAACCAAGTGTGACTCAAGAATCAGCCTTTTGGAAAAGCTTTTGAAATCTGTATTAGGTGATTAACTCAAAGTATGTTTATGATGTACATTGTTTTGGATATGAAATCAGGCAGTACTGATTAAGAATCCAGTGTTTCTTTCTGATATCACTACTTTCCTTGATTGGGAGACACTTCAGACAGTCATTCATGCCCTGGTCACCTCACGACTGGATTATCGCAATGTACTCTACATGGGGCTGCCCTTGAAGGCCACCCAGAAGCTACAGCTGGTTCAAAATGCAGCTGCGTGAGCAGTAACAGGTGCCTCTCAATGAGCACATGTGTCACCACTGCTGCACGAGCTGTATTGGCTGCCATTCTGCTTCCAAGTGCAATTCAAGGTGCTGGTTATTATCTATAAAGCCCTGTATGGCGTAGGGCCTAAATATCTGAGGGACTGCTTGTCTCCAA